AGAGATCAAGAAAAGAACTTTATTGTTGATCTCAAGATTTCTAAATTGTCAAGATTTATATGGAGTTGTGGTGGAACTAGTTAACACTTAGAGCTTTTGGTATGTAATGACTATTTGCTATGGACTGATATTAAATGTTTCAAAGGATTGCGTTCTTAAACTTTCTGGATTTTTGTTACTCTCCTCAGATATTATTAAGTAGTTAAAATTTCTTTGCTATATTACATTAAAAACATAAGAACTTTGGGTCTCGTATTTATTTTCACTTGTTTTACTAATTATTTACAGAACACCGTTTTAACTTTTTTATTTTATAAATGTGTAGTATTTTAAACATATCTTTAAAATTGTTCAATTGGAACTACATTAACTTCTGATTTGTTTTTATTAGGATTTTTAAAAAAACAAAAACAAAAACAACACTTTTTCCATGTTGGTGCACAGCACTTAACAGAAATGTTTGTATTCCCTTTCTTTCAATTCAATAAACAATAAATAACTGGAATGAATAGTTCTTAGTTTCCCTAACTTCACTTATATGACTCACTTGGATGTTAATTTCTTGATCATTAATTATAGATTTCTTCCATATTTGTAGCATTTCACTTCCTCACTAGGAAAATTAACTTGTGGCCATTGAGCAGATGAGACACCCGGTGTTGTGTGCAGGCTTTGCAGTGTTTGATGTCTGGCTCTAACCCACCTCATGCTTGTGTTTTCACTGGACATTCAGCAGTCAACTTGCTCATGTCCCAGTCTGTGCTTATCTCCCTTTTTGAACACCTGCTCCTTTGAGGCTCCGTGAAATCCATGATTCCTTAATGCTGGAGCTTGCCTGAATACCAGATGCAGGTTGCTTTAGGTCATTGGTGGGTTTTACTGGGTTTTTTGATAAAGCACCTGCATCTCCTGCCTTTGTTCCCTCCAACTAACTTGGTGTTCTTGTCCCTCCTCCCTGTGCCTTAAAACAGAACCTAATCTTTATCCTGCACTTCCATTCAGCTACAGCTTTTTTCTGTTAAATAAAAAGTTGTACCTCAATTTCCACTCCCTGTAGCTTTTCCAAACTCAAACCTTTTGCTGAAGTGCGTTCTTGAATTCTTAGAGCTTATGTATTGATTAGAAAAGATCTTTATTCCCTCTAGTAGCACCTTTGTATTAACTTTATTCTCTCCTGTACAGTTTAGGCAATGTATAGATAATTATGGCTTAAATGCAGCTGCCAACAGAAGGGGCATGCCTTAGTCCTTTCCATGTCCTGCTTTGTGCCACTTCTCTTGGGTACTGGTATTTGCAGGAAGGTTGTTGGATTGCAGACCCACTTAAGCCATAAATGCAGCAGATGAAGGAAGTTACTAACAAACCCAGCCAAAAACTGTGCTTCATCTGCTGTCCTGTCTGCCTTTAATGGGTCAGAAGAGTGCAAGAGAAACAGGGATATGAATTCTACAGACCTGTGACATTTCAGTATTTGTAAGATTAAAAATTAACTGCTGTGGTCTGGGTTCTTGTTTGGTTTTGGCTTTTTGAATCCTTCAGATTATTAAAAAGAAATTACATAAAAAACCTGAGAGTAGATGTGCCTTTCATAATTACCTTAAATCCAAACTCTGCCTGAGGCAGGGTACTTCTCTTACACCTTGGCTTATGCTTTCTGTGCTGCCTGATGTGCCTCTATGCATGTCTTGCACGTGCTTAGGCTGTCAACTCATCAGAGATAGCAATCCCAGTTGTGTCCTCACTGTAAAAGACCTATAATGCTCTGAAGAAGAACCACTGAGGTTTGTATGGCTCTAATGTTTCTGCCAAAGATAAGATGGTTAATGTACTGATAACTGCATGGTGGTTCATATATATAGCCCACTTTTCCTATCACTACCTCTAGTGGCCATCATACCATATACCTGGAGGCAAAAATGGTCTTCTACCACTTGTACAAAATTCTAGAGAGCTTCTTGTGAGAGAAAAAGAATTAGAATAAAGCTTTGACAATCCTGAACAGATGAAGATTTGCTTTTATGGGCTTATCAGTGTTTCAGGTTGATTGTTAACCTGCATGTACAACTGATCTTAGGGCTACTGCTTATACCACTGATGTTCTATGTTCCATGAAACAGAAGTACTTCAGGGAAAAAAAAACAGATACCAGGATGAGGAGGCAAGTATATTCTTTAACAAACCAGGCTAAATAACCAGCAGTCTGTAACTGAAATGAATAATTAGGAGGAAACATGCAACTGTACCTATTGTAACTAACCCCCCCTCAAATGCAGAACTCTTAATAGCTGTCTCATCTCTCTGAAAACTGGAGTGACTGTCATCTTCACAAGCTGACCAGGCTGAAGACTGGGGATGAGAAAAAAGCTCAATAATCTGTTAAAAGTTGGAATCCCTGCAGGGCAACTTTAGTATTTTCATGGATTAAGACCTTTCTCTAAATCTTAGCTAATCATCTGAAGGATAAGCTAATGGTTCCTCCGTGAAGTTATACTTGGATGCCTCAGTTCCAAAGGGAAATATAGTCTGGTGAGTGAACAGGAAGGGATCTGTGTTTGGTCTCACACGCATTTATGGTGATAGATGAATTTTTATTAAAAATGGGTCCAAAATTTCTAATTGTCTTGAATTGTGTATAATAAGCTTGGGTTTAAATTACCCTGTTCTTCCCTCTGGGAGACCCAGAAAATAGGGATTTTTTTTTTTATTTTTATTTTTACTACCATAAAATTTCTGTGCTCTGTGGATCTCCCATGAGGGAGATGACTGTAGGATCCCTATTTCTAGCTAATGAACCACAGTTTTAGCAATTACAAATATATTTTTCCTGTTGCTGACACTGAAGATTTCTCCTGAGGCAGGAAAGGACCCTGTACAATAGGAAGGCTTTGAAATTACCAGTGGAATTACTCAGCAGAATTGTAGTCTCTGAAACCTGCTACCAAGGTTTTTGCAACTATTATAATCAGTTGGTAGATATAAATGAAGAGAGAATTTATTTATATTAAAAAATTGAGGTGGGAAGTTTGCATTCATATAAAAGTATAGATTGTTTAATATTTGACAATCCCCACTTAGAAAACATATCTCTATTTTTTTTTTTTGTTGGTCTGTCATGGTTAATAATTCACTCTTGAGGAAGTGGGGAGGAATCCACAATAACATCCCTCTAGGTCAGGGAATACACATGCTATCCCCATTTTTTTTTTTACCTCAGATATGTTGTTTTCCCTTATCCTTCTCTGTCCTGTTCTCATCTCTGAGGAAACACTTGTCTGGGTAGGGAATAGAAGCTTTTCATAGTGAGTGATAAATTTTACCAGTTTCCTTGGGGAATGGATCTACTCTATCTAAACATCATCCCTGCAATTCTGAGGTGCTAGTAGTTAGAAATCATCAGAGACAATGTATCATACATTTTCATTAATAATAAAGCTCTTACCTCAAAATCATGTCTTTAGAATAAGATATACAGCTGCTAGTTTAAGTGATGGACTTGCAGATTAATGCTCATGTTTCTCAGTGTGAAACATTAATGAAATATATCTACTGTCAGCACTACAGCAAGGACCTGACTTAATTAGCTTATCCACATTGCCTTTTCTTCTAACAGATAGCACCCAAAATGTGTAGTATGTTTTTCTCACACATGAATAAAATAATTTAATTGCCTGCCACATAAACTGCTACAAAAGTTACCTTCTGCTCTCTAAGTTTTACTTGCTCTTCTTTTCCCAGACTGACATCCTGTCTGAGTTTCAGCTTTATAGGGCAGTACTTTCTGTAGCTTGATTTTTTTGTGGTTTAAAGTAGGCAGTGGCATACAGCTGGGGTAGCTGTTTCCTTAATTATTTTTTAACGAGCATGATTTTCAGCAGTTTTTCATCTTTACAACAGCTGAACTTGGAATCCATCCATCACAAATTTAAAGCCAAACTTTTCCTATAACAAACACTGAACACGAGGTATCTACAGAAATCAAGCCTCAGAGTTGTCTTTTTCATTGCTGGCCATGAAAACAATCTGTTAATTACAGCTGTGCACTAAAAAACCAAGTACTTAAGGAAGAAAAAGCTCATAAATTTTAGGACATAATTACAGAAGTGTATTTTTAAAGTGTTTTAATTGATGTGTTTGTTTCAAGAGACCTATTTCCAAGCACATATAAAAAAGTTTAAAGACAGTCATTGGACAGTGAGGGTACAAACTCAGGTTTATACACTTATCACTGAGGCAAGAGCTGCACAAAAAGAACTGAGTTTGCTGGTATCATTGAAGCAGAGTCACATTAGAATTGGGATAAATGGGGTTATGGTTTACCAGACCATTTCCCTGAGCTAGACATACTCTTGGTTCACCTCACTGGATATGGAAACAGCAGGTTCATGGAGTAGCAACTGCAAATAGTCTTTTGCTCTGTAACCAGCTCCAACCAGCAAGATGATGATTACTTTATGTGAAGGTCTGTGATGTACTTCAGTGACAAAACAGGAGTTGAAGGGAAAAAGCAAGTATTAATCATGTTTCTTATTTATGTTTTTCACTCTTACACACAGGTGTCACTTCCACCAAAGGGATCTTAATCCATCCAAAAATGACTTCACATAGGTTGTTGGAGGGAGGGGTGAAAAGGGAGAAAAGCATAACTTTTATTCCACTGTTTTTTACCTGGAAAAAACACTGACACGAAGATGCAAGCTGTGCTACTATTCCACTTTGAAATCTGTGTTGCAGGCACTGCTTCAAACTAGGCTTGAGTAGGACAGCTTGACAGCCAGAGGCACATCCTGACACCTTTCAGTAAGAAGCAGACACCAGAGCTGCACTTAAATTTGTTCTGGAACTACCATCATTACCAGCCCATGCTGCTGAAATGAGTTTCCCTTCTCACCATTTAATTCCTACAAAGGTCAGTTCTGTAAGCAAGGATTGCATCTTACAGAAACAGCAACTCCAGCAGTTTGGGTTGTAAAGGAACAAAAACAACTGCTACACAAATCCAATGTCTTTTGAAAATATTTTATGTTAAAAATACAGAAAAATATTTCTTGTTCAAAGAGGAAAAATATACTGCATGACGACACTGATCTAGGTGTGTTCAGAAGGTGTCTGAGGCTCCACAACCAGTCACTGGAGTGATGACCCAGTTTGGCAGCTAATGGTTCTTTTTCAACTTCTCAATCATTTATCAAAGCCAGAATCATACTGTGACAAAACAGAAAACATGATACCAGTGGATTACTGAAGCATGTGCAAGCAGGAACAGCTACTGCTGTCATGAGAGCTGCACTTGAGCCTGAAATAGAAAGTTAAGGCAACTGCTGTGTGCTTTGCTTATGAGGACAAGAGCTGCAGAAGTAATATTGCTGCAGAATAACAGCAGCTCTGCCATCTTGTAGTAAGTGGCCCCATCACAGAACTCATCCATTTGTAACTTAGATCAACTTGGTCCTCAAGATTATTTCCATTCTAAATAGGCCACTTACTGTAGGCACTGAAAGCATGTAACTCTTTATATTGTAGTGATTTAGAGATTAAGGAGTAGCCTGAGTTTCCAAATAATGTCTGATCAGAAAGAATAAAGGTATATAATGAACCCACAGATAGCTGTCAAAATATATTACTGAGGCTTAGCAGGATGCAAAAAGATAAGACTAGAATACCAGCAATTACAGTAGAAGAATAGAAGAGATAAAAATAGCTGGCAGACAATTCCTTTGTTCCTTGGGAGCAATTTTTGAAACTAACCTGTAAAGGTACATGAAGAAACAGAGCAGATGAAAGCCCAGTTTAATCATGGCTTCTTTCATGTGTGATTTCAGTTGTCCTCGGTTATGGATCTCTGTGGGATCAAACACTCCCATGTTTCCACTTGGCACCATAATGTACCTGAAAGTTTAAGAATAAAGAAAAAAAAAACACCACACAACAAAACCCAAAAATGTAGTCATTTAATCATTAGGGAATGTCAGGAGAAGGAGAGGGGGAGAGCTTTCCCAGAAAAGAATTTCATCTAAAGAGTTGTTTCATGATTCAAGGTAAGGGAGTTCTTTTTTACTTCTATTTCAGTTTTAGGATATTGCATGTATCTCTGCCAGTACAACCCACAAACAAAAAATAGGAGGACAAGAAGTACTAAAAGCATCAGCCTGGCTTCCCATGTATAAATGGGAGAGATTCCAGGTAACAGCCAATTCCAGTTAATTGCTGTTCACAGTTACTTGCTGTCATGGAGAAAACATCCACCCACAGTGGAAAGATGCATTAGATGAAAAGGACTGGAAAAGACTTCATTTAGCTAAGAATTAGTGATTTATTTAGCAAAAAAAACCTCACATAGATAATCACAAACTCTGGTTGTCAAAATGAGATGGTGTATGACAAGACAAAGGATCTGTGTATTATTCCTGTCTTTGTCACAGCCACCCTGTCACATCTCAGCACTGACACTGAGGCTGAGAGGATGAGAGGCTGGGCAGAACTGAAGAAGTTCTGCTGTCCAAACCCACATAAGAACAAAAGTTGAGTGAAACCAAGTGAAACGCAAGGAAAGGAAGAATGAGGTTGGAAAACACAATGCTTACGTCCTGTGAAAATTCAGCAAGCACCATGGGTTTTTGTCCCAAGCATTTCTCATGGGAGAAAATAGGAGCAGATGAAGTTCTCACTCCTGCTGAGCTCAAGCTAGAGCAGTACTATTAAATCATTGAGATGTCATACAGTCTTTACCTTCCTGGATTAATAATCTTTCTATATGGGAATTTAAGTCCTTCTGGAGGAAAAATGGTTTCAGAACAGAAGACTTTGATTTTCTTTCTGTACTCAAGTGGCAACACTTGTACTCCAAAAGGCACTTCCTCACCTCTTACAACATTCATTTCAATAATAGGAGGAGAAGAAGGGGAACAAGAAACAAAGTTGTTTTCAAGTGGCAGTACAAGACTGGAAAAAAAAAACCAGTAAGACCACAGTATGTGTCCTTCACACAGAGGTATTAAAAAGCACTGCAGCATATTTGACTAGTTTCAGAGACAGTTGTGTCCCATGAAAAATAGTTCATGTGAACAAATTCCAGTTTGAAATTCTCTTCTAAATTTGAAGCTTTAAAGGATTGTTCTATTTTTAGTAGTATAACAGACATTATTGTCCGTTTACTGGGAATGGAAGGCATTTAATTGGAATAAAAGGAAGAACACAAGTTTCCTGTACCAATTTATCCTAGAAATAGGGCGCATAATTTTCTTACATGTCTAGGACAAGAGTGCCACAAAGGCAGCATGTATTAATTTTGCTTTTTAGGAAGAATGATAACACTTAAATTTTGCAGCTTAACTGCAGAACCTGTGAGGTATTTTTTCCTAGAGGCCCACAAGTTGGGACAGCTTATATTACATATTTAAGGAAACTAGTCATGGATACAACGTGCTAATGCTGACAAACCCAACTCAAGGCAGTCGTCATACTCTAAACAGCCAAAAAACTTCTACAGCAAACATGACAACTGTCAGCTTTAATGGATACACACACTACTGCCTTCAGTATTTCCATTCAGTGGAAGCTGCTGCCACAGCAACAGGACACTTCCCTCTAGATTACACAATTTTTAAAGTGATGTAGAAGTTCTGGTCAGAATTTTGCCTGCATTTTTAAGAATTTTTCTTTTTTTACTTTTTCAGTTTTAAGATGAGTATTATCTACTTAAAGACACAGCAAGAATCACATTATTTGGACCTATCCTCTCAAGATTTACATAACAAAGCAGAAAGAAAAAAACTGAACACTTCCCTAAGAGTTTTAAAACAAGGAGAATGTAAGACAAAACTGTCTCATCCGAGACACTACAAAATTCATCAAAAAAACCCCAAATTAAATGATCATCTGAGCACGCTGAACAAGAAGGGCCAGCAGGATGTTACAATAAACATGTTTGAAAGTCTCCCTTGATGCATTATTGACCAGTTTATCCTTCCCAGCATTTATTTCTGATGCCCCTTTTGCACAAAATCTCTCTCTTCCAACTGAAATCCTTGAGACATTTAGTAAATTAGGCAAGTACTGCCATTCATTCATTGAGATTAGGCATATTTTGAAGAAAAGTGAATGACAGGAAGAGATTATCCTACCTTTATCATTTTTACTACAAAGCACAGACTGCTTCAGTCTCAATACAATTATTTCTGTCATCATTTTGGAATAGACAATAAACTTTAACCCTTCTGAATTTGTGTGCAGAAATACATCCATGACTCCTCTGGGCAATCTGTGCCACTGCCTGATCACCCTAACAGAAAAGAATTTCTTCCATATATCTAACCTAAATTTCCCCTCTTTTAGTTTGAATCTATTACTCCTTGTCCCATCACTACAGTTCCTGATGAACTGATAATGCTAAACACCACACCTGCTTTTGCAAATCTCTAATTCCTTCATTATAGATGGGATAATCCAGGCTATTAGTGTGAGTGAAACTCCTCAATCCACAGAAGGAAGGCAGGATTAGTGATATAGGCTTAACATTTTGATTTCTTGTGGCAGGACAGGCAAAGTATCATATTGTCAGATTCATTTATTGCCTACACTGCATATCTAAAATTGAGGAAACAATCCCGGATTTTAGGATATTCAGAATATTTATGCCATGTATGACAAATATAAAATGAGAGCTGTCAATAAAAACAGCAGTCAAAGCTTATTGCATGAAGTGTGGAAATAGAAATCATTTATCTTCAAAAATTTACTCTAACAGGGTTTAGAAGGGAAAGCAAGGTGCTACTTTAAAAATTAACATAAATACACCAAATTAAGCAGCAACAGGGTAACCAGTAAAGGAAAGCTTCAAAGCTTCAAAGAAAATCCATTCTCTGTCCAGTGTCTCTGCAGAAACAGCCTTGCCTAAATGAAACATCAAACTCCAAAGTTGCCAGCAGATACCAAACAGAATACTGGTCACTTTGTGTAACAGTTGTACATGTGGGTGGCCAAACAAAAATAGGCAAAAACATGCCCCACCTGTGTGCATTTAGGCAACATTTATTTATTAAGCACAAAGTTCCACTGTCGTATGTTACTCCAGCTTAGAAACATTTGAAGGCTTCGCTGGCATTCCACAGAAAACAAGGGTGATGAATGCATGGCTATTTTGCCCAAGAACAGCCAGGTTATCAGTACAGAGATACTCAACCTTGTTTTGATGAGAGCTATGAACTTCTTTTTTAATTTTACCAGTGACTCAACCCACCCCTGCAACTAGTTAACCCTAACAGGTTCAGGCAAACAAGAATTACAGTAAACTTTTCCTACCTGTACCTTAAACTTTTTTATTCCCATAGTACAGTGTTTAGAGATAATTTCTGACAAATTCACACCCAGTTTTCATTAGTTTAACAACTGTAAGGGTCAGTTCTCCAAATATCAAATTATATAAGATAAAAAGAACATTTTTTGAACTCACAGTCCCGGTGTTGCCACATGGAAACCCTTACTGATAACTAAACCATTTCCAAGGGGTGGCAGCCCAGGGCTCAAAGATCAGTAACACTGACAGCTTTCCTAGGATGAAAAGTCTGCAAACCTTTCCAAACACAAAGAGGCAGGATGGGGGAACAAAACCAGTGCAGATGAGAGGGAGAGACAAGTCAGTGAATGAAGGAGGACACTGTGTGGGGGACGACACCCCAGCCCAGTGGTTTTACAACCATCAGGCAAGCTGACCTCAGCACTTTTATGCCAATATCACACACGTAGGCACAGCATGAAAAACATTAACAACTCTGTCTGCAGTACTTCATAATCCCAATTAATATGCTATTATTTCCTATGAACTTGGGAATTACCCACAAATCAAGATTCCTGGGCACTGGGGATAATGAAAGGAAAGGCCAAAAGTTTCATATCCTTTACACTGTTGGGTTTCTTATGATTTTAATGGCAAGAAGAGGTTTTATGTTAGTTTGATCAATGAAGACTAGTAGCAGCTCAAGAACACAACTGAAACATCTCACCATAACATATTATTTATCCTTGTACTACACTTAAAGCTAAACTATAACAGTGGGGAAAAAAAAGCACATAAACCCCTGTGCACTTACCTATATATATTCCATGTTGCTACTGGCAAATTAAGGAGAAAGATGAACCAGTGCAATGAAATAAGCATTAATACTGTTACAACAGCATGGCCAATCACCTCAGGGACCACCCACTGTAAAAAGGGAAAAGAAAAGGGTTACACACACAAATGTAAATTCCTTTCTGAAACAGAGATCTATATGGAGTTATCATCTCATTCTAATCATGCAAAACTCAAGAGAGAAACATTCATGGCAGAGGCATGTGATTCCATCACAGTGTGGAGAAATTAATACTTTCAGGCAGATTCCAGGCAAGTAAGCCAGAAATCAAGGCCTACGATATTATAACAGAGGTGCTTTATCAAAGCATGTCTGGAGAGCATCACAGCAGCTGTCTGAACACAACTGTATTACACAAGCACTTAAAAAAGCGAGTTAAAAAGTATACAGTGCTCGTTTGAAATCACTGCAGAGAACAGTGGATTTAGGAACACAGATAATTAAAATCTGCACAGACACAGAACGTACAAACAAGCCTCAGGCTTGGAACGGATAAAAATGTTGATCAATATGAAAACTGCAGTTAAATTGGGTTAGCCCCTTGCAACTACACATTTTTGGCTTGATAGTATCCTGTGCCTCTCTCTCTTTCATTAACAAAAAAATACCTTTAAATCCAAATGAACACACATACATGGGAAGGCCACACTGGTTTAATGCAAACAGTTTCAAGGAGATTTGTTTAAAGTGGTACTTTTCCTTATCACAGTAAAACTCTACTGTTCAAGAGAGGTTAGAAACTACACAGATCAGAGAAAGTTGCTGTGAAGACCTCAGAGTTCAGTCATGAGTAGACACCCTTGGTGTGGCCCACCTACAAGAACCAAAGCACAGAACTCAAGAGCTCTGTGAAGCATTGTCTCAGTCCCACCACTTTAGGCAGCAGCCCATCCTGGAGCACCAGGGGTCAGAACAACAGCCTTTTGTGACTGAATTTGCTGAAAGATGGGCACCCAAAAGAGACAGGCAGGCTGAAGTAAAGGATGTATGCAAAATACTGCCAGTCGAGGCTCTCGAGGTATGCATTTACACCCCAGTGATTTGTGATGCTGAGATGAAGGATGTGGTTTTCTCAAACCACATTAAATGCAATGAAGAACAATTTACTTTATTGAGTTTGGAGCAGCATGATCTAGCGTTGATGTAGTCACATTCCAAATCTGATAGTGTGATTATCTGGAGTCCAAGATAAGGAAACATTGTATGGTGACTGGGAATATACAAAGCTTTATTTTTAGCCAATAAATTGGGGAGAACCCTCTTGCTCTCACTGCAGATATCTTGTTCCATGTTGATCTGCCTAAGACATATTTCAATCAGTTACAACTCACTCCTGTGTCAGGCAGGAAGCTTGGCTACATTTTATTATCAGGCCAAGTGATTTTATGATATTTTCCCAAGGGCAACTGTTGCACAAATGCTAAAGTTCAGTTCAACCCTTACAACAAGCCAGGGAGGCAAACTCAGTAATTTAAGTATCAGATTTATTAATACAACCCTTGAAGCCAGAACTTAAAAGTAACAAAAAGTTAATGCACTTTTTAAACTCTCCTCACAATAAAGCAAAATAGTTTCGGATTCAAGAAGTTAATCTACTTTTTTTTAACACTACTGTATTAATTAATACTTCATTAGGCAATAAGAGAGTAACATCATTATTGAATGAACTTTCAGCAACTGAAATATGAATATTTCGGACAGAAAAGTCCTCTCAAAAGAGGTTTAAGATGCACGTGTGCACATCATCTCGCTATGTCCTGTAAAGACATCGTCCTTTTCTCCAAGGAAATGAACACAGTTTTTTCTATTCCTAAAAAAAGAGGTGAAGGCTTTTCATTTTTCAACAAATAATCTATCCTTCTAGGCCGAATTTTTTTCCCAAGTGCTTCTGTACTTGTTTCTGTTAGCAGCAGGTAGACTCTGAAATAGCACTAGGATTGAAAGAGGTGTAAAAGCTAGCTGGCTTTTACTGAGAAACGTAAAGAAAATGAAGCCAAATCTGTGCCTCTACATTGCAACAACGCCAGGCAGCAAAGGCTGCGGGCGGGTCTCTAACAAAGAAGATGGAAAAATCCTGTTTGTCGAGGAACTCGGAGCCCCACAGCCCGGAGCACACGCCTAAGACAAGGCAAGGCACTCTCGCAATTCGAACCCTGTTGCGCGGCCGCGCTTTTTAGGCCCGTGCGGCTCCCGAGGGCCGGCGCCGGCACCGCTCCCTGGGCTCCCACAGCTCCTTGTGCTCCCACAGCCCCCCGCCCCGCGCTCCAAGAGCCCAACATGTTTTGGGTACCGAATCCCGCGGCGCTTTCCCGCAGCCAGGCGCTCCGGGCTCCCCGGATCCCCCGGTCCAGGGGGCTGCACCCCGGGCCCCGAACCGCGGCCATGACCCGGCGCAGCTCCCCCGGCGCACTCCCCCCCGCCCGCCGCCCCCAGCCCGCCGGCCCCGGCCGCCCTCGTGCCCCATCCCTGCCCGCCCCAAGGAGCAGGATACGAAGTAGACGGAGAGGAGATGAGGGCGCAGCAGTCGATCAGCGAGAAGATGAAAACCACCGACTCCATCCCGCCGCCCGGCCCCGCCGCCCCGGCCCTCCCGGCCCCTAGGACCCGCCCCGCCCGGGGGCCGGCCGCGGGCCCGCGATCCCCGCCTCGGGGGCCATGAGAGCCGCCCGGCCGCGCATCGCCGCGCTCAGCCGCGTCAAAGCTACTGCCGCCGGCACGGGCACCCCCGGCACCGGCCACCGGCACGGCCACGGCCACGGTATATGGCGGGGGGGGGGCTCGTGTGTCCCACGCCCGCTGAGGGCCTTGAGCATCTGGCCCGCTCAGGGGCTGGAGGGGACCAAAGTCCGGCCTTACCTCCCGGAGCCTTTAAATAGGCTTTAGAAAGGTCTATTTGTTTGTTGGGAGGGGGTGTGTATTTTTTTTTAAATTTTCTGTTATTTCGCTTTATTTTCGCACATCTTTCCGTCCTCTTCAGTAGTTCTGATCCTGAGGGTGGCTGCTGCTTCAAGCGTGCGATGAGTAGTGTATAAATATACCATGTGTGTATATATACGTAGATATCTAGGTATATGTGCATATATATGATGTGCGCATATATGTATATACGTGGGGTGTATATATATATGTGTGTGTGTATATATATATATATATTTGGGTATTAGTAGGAATTTTTTCACAGAAAGGGTGATTAGGCATTGGAATGGGCTGCCCAGGGAGGCAGTGGAGTCACCGTCCCTGGAGGTGTATAAGGAAAGACTGGATGTAACACTTGGTGCCATGGTCCATTTGACATGAGGGTGTTCGGTCATAGGTTGGACTTGATGATCTCAGGGGTGTTTTCCCACCTATTTGATCCTGTCATTCCATGATATTGGCAAATTTTAAGTGTTTACATTTGGAAACATGTAAAAAGCGATTATATTAAATAGATAAATAAAAGGGGAAAATAAAATTACTTCCCTAGCACATGTGTGAAGAGCAGGGAGAACAGTGGTTCCTTCAAGTGGCACAGTGCTGTGTTATGTCTTATGATAATCTCTGGTGACTTTGCAAATTAAACACCCTAATACCTCTGTATTAGGGTACTCCACTTCTAATTCCTTCAAATGCAAGTGGCTGCTTGAGGGAACTTGCTTGGTTTAATTTACAAGATCACAGTGACTGTGTCTTGACTATTCTGAAGTGGTAAAGCCTTTTTGTGGTAGGGTTTATGATAGGCTTGATGTTTCTTGCAGGGCAGTAGCTGCCCTTGGGTGATGTGAAGTTTAACATAATTTTAAAAGATAACTCTCTATTCAATTTGATTGTTTTAAATAGAGTTATTAATTTAAATGATGTTTTGAAATTCTCCTCACTGTGACATCTGTGATACCATATCTTTTAGGGAGATTCTCTGTTTTCTTTCTCCTTTTTAAGAAGGAATTGATCTTTACAGTGTAAAAACTCCGTCTCACTCCCGATTTGGAGAGTGGGGAAAGAGAGTAAATGGAGTACAGTTGTACATGGAATTTTGTACATTTTCTCACACTTTCATAATTGTGGTTTGGAAATGGGTTGGATTAACTGCTGTCATAACAAAAGGCTTGACAGAATTCACTTTTGTTAATGCACTTTTCTATAGTATTCCTTGAAACATCTTGTAAAGATTGAAGTTCTTATTACGACAGTATTCATGCTGATTGATATAGATGGTTTCATTTTTTGGGTAGGAGATCTAAACCAAAAGGAGACTAGCTGAGAGGAACCAAGACCTTTAGGATTGACAATAGGATGCTGTGTGGACTCCAAAGTCGTCTTTCTTACAAAATAAAAACATTGGAGTTGACCCAGCCCCAAAAGCCCCAAAATGAAGGATACTGCCTTTCCTGGGGAAACAAAGCTACCTAGTTATCTGTGATTTAATAAGCATTTCCCATTTCCAGAGGAAATACTCTCCGGTGTGTTGCAAGGCAGTGAAAAGCTGTTTCTGATTTTCATTTTGACTTCCTAAGAAGAATAGAGTTTGAAATAGGCACATGTGGTCTAGCTGTTCTGGTGAAGTGATTGACAAGAATTTTGTTCCCTGCTTAAAATTCTTCATTTCAGTATCTTGCAAGCAGTAAATGTGGGCAGTATGTTGACATTGGAGTCCTAGCATCTGATTTGCAGAAAACCTACAGGTGAGCCAAGACTTGTATTCTTATGTTCTGTATTTAAAATACTGAATATATTATTTTACATTCAGGTATTTTTAATTTAAAAAAATAATTTTTGTTATGTTAACATCCTTGCCAGTTGTTGAGGTTGATTGAAACAGTAAGATCATTTCCCCTCCAGTGTTTCCCTTTGCTGATATATCTAGTAACACAGATCTTATTAACACACTGGGATTACACGATCTAGTCGTGGGTTGATTTTTTTGTTTTAAATCAACAGCTAAAGATGCATGGCAGCATGTTGGTCTTTAGACCCAGTGAGCTTAAAATATGAGGGGAAAATAACTCTTCAGTGCAGGCACAGGGGAGAGATACAGGACCCAACAAGACATTGTATCGTGCTCAGTTGCTCAGCAGGACAGTCAGTCTTGCCTAGTTATTTTTATGCTGTTACACTTTTCTGGGTGGGGAGCAAGGTGGGGATTAATGAGGGTGGAGAAGTGTATTCACTCATGTTTGTGTGCTCTGTTTATTTGTGCCTTGTTAGAGAAAATGAGCCAAACCCCCTTGCTTAGGATGCTTATGGGTCTTGGGGTTTTGTTTTGCCTCTGTTGGGTGTGGTATTAAAGCAAGTAAGTAAAACACACCTTCAGTAAGGGAAGGTAAAAGGTTGATGGTTTTTGTTTGCATTTAAGGATACTCTTGAATCAGAATTTCTCATAGTGACCATTATTAATTAACATGGTTATTCCTTACTGGAGTGTCCTTTTTAGAATATAGTCCTGTGTCCATATGTTCATGTTTGCATTAAAATTAAAATATTGTTAATGTTGTGAAATAGAATCCAGTGTACTCATTTGTACCTTGCTGCTTCTCTGTATCTACAGTTAAAGAGGACCTTGATAATTTTTACTAAATATCTCCTTAGAGACCAGCATAGTTTAATGATTTGGTTTCATCCCAGTGACTGAGCTATTCCAGTCTTAAGAAAAAATAATCACATTTTCACATAGTTGATTTTTAATAAGAACTTGTGTGGAAGCTTGGGTATCAACTTACCAGATATTTTTACTGGGAAAAGTCAGTTGGTGTAACCTGTTTATTTTGGTTTTCTTTTTCAGTGCAGAATATGGACGAAGAAAAAGAAATGCCTTTAGAATACAAGTTGCAAAAGGTAGTTCTGTTAGCGTTGTGTCCAAGATGCCAAATTCTTTGATTATGCTTTGGCTGTTTTCTTAAATGTTTGGACTTTTTCTTTCAGTGTTTGGAATAATCAGTAATGAAAAACAACGTGAGGATTTAGCAGTTTTAGAAGCCGAACATGTGGCAAAAAGAGCAAGACAAGAGAAAAATGAGTAAGATGAATTTTTACCAGTAAATTAATAATGCCTTTAGTGTTATCATTTCTTTAAAGTTCTCTGTCTTCGTATTATTAAATTTTGGTAGTTTCAAGGTTACAGGTAGATCCTTGATATCCCATAGGCCTGTCTTCTTCAGAAGTTACCTGTATTTATTGGAATCACTTTTGTCCCTAGAGACAAGCAGATACTAGAGCTAATCATGATTTCTCTGTTATGGGGAACATACAGCCCTGAATTAGTGGATACCTTGGGGCATCTTTGATAGTTTTCCACACAAGGCCTCAGTTGTCCTGTGATTCAGTTCCTTTGTTCTGTTTTGTTCTTAATCTTTCTTGAGAGTGAGAGATATTGTCTACATCTCAGAGACAAGACTACAAGACAGGCTGTTCTGAGTAAATCACCAGTGGGAATTGAGATTTCCTGACTCCTAAACCTGTGCATGCTCTCATGGACTGTTCTGGTTTCTCTAACTTGTGGTAGATATTAAGGATCTTGTGGGAAATTAGAACAATGTTGTCAGAAGGACTAGTCTAGTTCAGCAGTGATTTGCTACTGCTTGCCTTGTGCCAGCACTGGTGATTCTGTGATCTCTTGGTAAACTGAGTCAGAGTGATCCTACATCACCTTTTTTTAGGACTGTCTTTCAGCCAGGCTGACAAGTTGATCCAGCTCATCACAGACTTGGAAAGGATGCATTTTTTAACTCTTAACAGTAGAAAATTTGAAACATGCAAGTCAGGAATTTCTCTCCAGCTTTCGGCTGCCTGTCATAGTTGTGGGGAGCCACATTGTTGAAATTGCATTTGTTTTATTTTATGGATGTCTCGTAGTTCTGCTCTGATAATCATGGAGTTTTTGTCTTCCTTCCATGTAAAGGACTACTGGAAGTACCACAGATGACTCTGATTATGATGATTATCCAGAAGATCTAGTAAGTTGTATTTTATTACGTTTGTATTTGCATAATACATGATTCTATGTTGTAAAAGTGCACTTGGAGAATTTAAAAGTGGAGATAAGAGAGGAGGTATAGTCAGAGTTGACAATTCCCACTGAGAATCTATAGAGCTGAAAGGAGACTGAATTCTGAAGGAATAGGAAGAACCTGTGGTGAGGAATCACTTTTGAGGAAGGCACAGTGGGGGCCTGAAAGACTTATCAAATGAATGAAATGATTAAAGGAACTGACATACCCAACTACTACACAAAGAGGTGCCTGCCAATTAACAGGGTCATTTCAGGGTGAATTGCAAAGGCTGCTGCCCCTTCAAGGAGCACAGATTTTTATATGCAGTCATTTGATTTGGAGAGGAGTGGGTTGGGAGATGCATGCCTCTTTTTCCCATGGGGATAATGCTAAATTGTATTTATGAAATAGTTTTCGTTGGCCTCTTACTGTAAATAACCCAAGTTATAATCTGTCCCGTATATTTTCTTTTCAAATGTGTGAATCTGCAGTCTACAAATCACATGAACAGTTCCCTGCTGAGCTTATATAAGAAAGGGAATCCCGATTCTGTTCCAACCACTCCAAAGACTGACCCAGTGGAAACCCCTCCTC